GATAGAGACTTTTGAACCTTATTACCCAGTTGTATGAGGAAGAAAGAAATACTTCCCACATCGAAATTAAAATCCAAATTGCGCCTCCATGTTAAGTTCAAATACATCTTGTGACATTCTTTTTGCGTCTGTTTTTCTTACGAATATCTGCGATAGGGAGACAAAAAGTCACTTAACTATTTGATCCCTATGGACTCCTCTTCTATTCGGTTTACGCATCTGTTTGGAATATTCATGGGTTTTTCTTAAAGAAGAAAAAGAAGCAAGCACCCCAATTTGATGTCACACAAGGAGCTTCAAGGCATTTTCATGTAACGACCTAATTTTATTTGGAGAAAATTATTTATATATATATATATATATTTGTGTATGGTCTCTTTCAACATAATTATTTGGGGAGCCTAACTTTATTGATTACCTGGTACCAAGCCTATGCTTTTTGGAACCCTTTTCTCGTGAATCAAACAAACAAATAGGCGGAAACGGTGACATTACAGGATCGGCACTGGTTTCCAGCGATTCCTTTGAATGGACATATAACTGCGATGATAAAACGATTTCTTTTCCAAATCTCCCGAGAAGAATCCTTTCCTGAGGCCATCATATGACCAATTTTTCAAAATACCGTAGTACCTTTTACTGATGACTTTCTCCAGTGATTATATGTTCCAAATTTTTGTTCAATTGGTGTGAGAGAATTATCTTAAATTTGACAAGAGAATCAATGGCTGTTTTTACCAATTTTAGGAAGACATTTGAGTCAGAGAAGCACAGGATTAATGAAAGAATTCACACCTCCCTTCCTAATCCATCTCATCACCTCTTCTATACAAATGACTTTGAACTATTGAAAAATGATAACCGAATTTTCCACACAAAATTTATAAAAGATGTGAGATTAGCCTGGATGTAAACAAATCAATCTTATAACACGTGGATTAACACGCGTGAAGTGATCTTGATAAGATTCAAGGAGAGAGAAATTCCCTCAACCACCATTATTTTATATCACTGTCTTGGCAAGGACATCGTTTCTGATTCTTTCTTTATAAGGAGATTATGCTGCTATTCCGAAAAAGGTCTTGATAAATTCAATTTCCTTTGTCGTTTTTTTTGCTAGTTTATTTCTTTTGGAGATACGCAAGAGCGATCCTGGTGGTCTAAATCCAATTTGATTTCTCGATCTTGGAAATTTCCTATATGAGAAAGGAAATGTTTATACATTCCGTTCTCTGTTCACTCATATCTCTAGTTTGTAAGTTAGTATTAATAATGAGAGGAGATATCACTTTAAGAGATAAAACCCCCACTCTTATAGACAATATAAAACGAATAGAGTAATAATAAGGTCCTATATATAATATTTTAAATATAAGAGATAGAATCCTTGTTAATAACTTAATAATAAGTAAGAGATAACTTAATAATAAGAAAGAGAGAGAGACTTTTAAAACGAAATAAATTTTGTCCAACATACATACCTGCAACATCACTTTTGTGAATATTCAAATCCCAAGCTTGTACACAGGCATAAAATTTCTGAAGACGATTGATTCTGCGATACTCCCACAAAACTTTTAAGGGAGAAAAACATACTTTTCTTCCCTAGTGCATGATGAGCTATAAACTTTTAGCTATTCTGTGACTAGATATGAAGACAACATGTGATCGTCCAGAACCAATGAGAATACCACAAATAAACGACGTCATCAACAGATGTGCTTCAGAAAGACTTACAACTAATGTGTTTCAAATGTGTGCCAGATGTTTAGGAAGAACAAAGAAAACTTAGTACCTTTTAAGAACAATTTTAAAAGGACATAAGGAAACTATTTTTGAATGTACACCCCACTCCAGTCAAGTTATTTTTAGAACCTTTGATAAAGGCAAGACTAGAATTCGAGCACCTAATGAACCATGTTAAATTTCATCGTCGATTCCAGACAAGAAACTTATGTTTATTTTGTTTATTTTAAATTTTTAATTTGATGAATTGTTTATTATATTATATCAATGTATTTTAATTTTGAATTTGATTTAAATTATTGTATACCTTTAAAATATTATTATTATGTATAACGCCTTTTCCAGAGAGAGAGAGAGCAATTAGAACTCATGTATTGCTGTGAAAAATCACGCCTTCTTTAAATGTAGTGTGATTTTTGAAGATAAGGGAGTAATGTGAAACCTGAAAGGCCCTGGGTCTAATTTAATAATTTTTATTAATAATGTTAAAATATTGTCACCAAATATTACTTCATTTTGTGAGAAAACTAACGTTTTGGATGTGGAAAAAGATAGATAACAGATGTTACTTCCTTTGAGGGAAGTCCATACATCCTTTGTTTTTCCCTTATCCGTTAAAAATCTCGCTCAGATGGGCACTATCTACCCCTCTTTGATTCCACTTTCATCCGTTCACATGAAAGAGTTTCTAGCAGATGATTGGTCGTAAATCAGGAGATATAAGAAAAATTTGTCAGAATTCGAGGAGTTCAGCGACAGATCGGAAAGTGTCCAAACTCCACACATTTTCCTCCTGATGACCAACGCCCTTAGACGATTCACATAGAAGAATTCCCAAGTCAACACTTAGAAGTTATACTTTGACTTTGTGCACATATCGATCTCCCATGATAAGAAGTAAATGAACTTTATCTCCAAAGTGTCCCTTGCCTACAGAGAAGAAAACGAACAACAACTAAAACAGGTTGTATGTTTCTAACGATTTTGTGAGCTCTCTCTCTCGATCGCGCATTGGGTATAATATAAAGTCTATATATCTCTCGATTTGTATCTTATTTGTAGTAGTTAAATCTCTCGTTCATTAGTATTTTGTATTAGTTTTTATTTTCTTTGGTTTTATTAAATTTATTGTTGTTTGTTTATCAAACGAAATGACTCTTAATTTGTGTCTGAATCAGATCTCATACGCGTGTTTGTCCGCGAATCGATAAATTGACAAACTGGTGTCAGCCCTGACAAGCATCTGGACTTCACAGTTCAGATCCACTAGCGGTTATCGCTCTCCTATAAAACTTTTAAGATCGGATCTCTCAATCCGAAACTTTGGAGACAGATTTCGGATAATCTGTGCTGATTAAGTGGTACGAACAATCCTCCGTGGATTAGAGTACCCCCGGCTACTCTCACACATGAGAACGGATTAATCGTTTTTACATTACTTCTTATGGGAAAGGTTGGTTTGGTATACGTCCTATTCGGTATAAGTCCAAACATCGGGAACGGATTAAGGTTGTATACCGAGGTTCCACTGTAACTTTATTCACAGAATCCAGCATGGCTTTCGGACCAGCAAATCTACCATTTCAGCAATAGGTAACGTCACAAGGTACATCAAAAGGGCCTGGGACCAAGATAAGTATGCCCTCCTGGTCAGCATAGATTTCAGGAAAGCATTTGATCATCTCTAGTGGCCATCAATCAAACACAGTCTAAGGGATGCCAAATGCCCTAAAAACATCTGCTTCCTTCCTGACAGCTATCTAAAGGATAGGAAAGCTGGATACTTCTCTAATGGACTGATTATTGTTAAAAATGTGAACCGAGGCTGCTTCCAGGGATTATGATGTGGGCCAGGAATTTGGAACCTGGCATACAACAATCTACTTAATACAATTGCTGGTACTGAAGAAATAAGAATACAGGGATTTGCTGATAATACCCTTCTAATGATAAAACACCAAAACTGTAATGTCCTACAGGCCAGTGAAAACGAAATCCTCCAAGATAAGTGGAGTATAAATCAAAAATTGCCAATAAACCATCAAAAATGTGAAGCCTTGATCTGCACCAAAACAAGTAGATAAAAACAACTACAATGCCCCCTGAGCCTCTTTATAGAAAGGCAAAAAATCAAAATAACGGGCAAACTAAAGAACTTGGGAGTGCTCCTCAATCCTACTTTAAGCTAGAAGCACATTGAAGAAATATGCAAAAAAAATTCACCAAAAATCCAACATGCTATACCACATTGCTCAGAATTGCTTTGCTCCAATGCCATGGGGCATTGGAGCCAAGCAATGTAGCATAATTTACATGGGCTCCATTGAGCCAGCACTGTTATATGTAGCACAAGTATGGGGCAACAGAGCAAACCTTGTTCACAATAAGAGAAAACTCCTTTCTGTCCAGCGTAGTTTTGCCATCCAGGTATGTAGGGTGTACCAGACTGCCCCTACGGACGCTTTGTGACCTTGGCTGACCCCCATCCACATTAAAATCAGCACTATTGTGACGAAATGGAACCTAATTAATATGAATCAAAATCACGATACAGGAGACCGGCAAAACAGCTGCTATAGTCAGCCACTCTCATAAATACCCAGAACTCTTATGGTATTATTATATACCATACTAGACTAGAGACCAAGTATCACCCCACAGATGATACCATGATTCTCATCAATACTGAACAAGAAACAACTGGAAAAGACACAGACTGAGGTGTCTACACTGATAGTGCCAAAAATGACAATGATACAGGAGTAGCGTTTGTCATCTATAATGAAAAAAACCGAGAGTATTGACCATGAAGAATACTACAAATTACAGGCCCACTGCTCCAATAATCAGGCGGAGCTTTCGGCTATGTACAGTACATAGCTCTAAACGACTATTACAACAAAAAGTAAAACAATATGTTGGCACAATAATCTTTCCAGACAGCTGCTATGTACTAAATGTGATAGTAGGGACAAGCAATTATACTTTGACTGGAGTCAAAACAAAACACCTAGCTTATAACCTAAGCAAAGGACGCAACATCTCATTCTTCTGGGTCCCCAGTCACAAGGGCATCAACGGCAATGTAAGAGCTGAGGCCCTGGCCCGCGTATGAAATTTTGAGTGGGTTTCATGGCAGTAAATACTTTTCCGTCTTGGATCTAAAATCTGGTTATTTTCAGATTGACCTAGACCCATCTGTACGTCATGTATATGCCTTCTTGACTGCTTGGGGAAAGTATCAGATGTGCCGCCTACCCCAAGGAACAAACAACAGTGGCCGTTTCTTTCAGGGTGTAATGTCCAATTTCCTGGCACCATTCATTGGAATCAACTGCTATGTATTCCAAGATGACATAGTCCTCTTCTCTAGGTCCTTTGAGGAACATATAACGCTGCTTGATAGGGTTATCAAAATTCTCTATGGAGCCAATCTTAAATTACACCCAAAGAAAAGCAAGTAGGTGGTCAAAGAAAAGCGATACCAGGGACATTATCAGCCGTGAGAAAGTACTCCCAGACCCAGATAACGTGCACGCGATTTGTGAAATCCAACCCCCTAGTAATATCAAAGGCATGTGCAGTTTCTTAGGCATGGTTGGCTTCTTTAGGAATTTTATTCCTAATTTCTCGGACATTGCATTACCATTGACGAATTTGACAAAGAAGAAAAGTAAATTCAATTGGGATAGTAATTGCCAGATAAGTTTTGAAAGATTTAAAGTGTTGTTAACAAAACCTCCCCTATTAAAACACCCCAATTTTTCGTCCCCTTTCCATTTATTTACTGACACATCAAACGATTGTGCAGGTTACGTTCTAGAGCAGATAGAAAATGACACTTTTTTTCCTGTAGGCTATTTTAGTAAAAAAATTTAGTGGCTCGGAAATAAACTTTTCTACGATTGAAAAGGAATGCTTAGCAATCATATTATCTTTCTGGTTGGTTGGTTAAGGTTTTTTGGCGCAAGGGCCCTTTAGGCCATGCTGTGCCATGACAAAAGGTAAAATATAACAAAACTAAATATATATAACACAAAATATAAATATGACAAAAAAACGTGAATAAAAACAAACAAACAAAACAACAAAATAGATATAAGCATATAATAAATAAATAAATAAATAATTAAATTTCTTTATAAGTATTTACGACTTTCAAAAAGTTCAGTATCTTATCAAGATTTGGCCTCTGGCCCAAAATCTCTTTAAAACTTGCATTTCCAAAATGCTGTCTACGTATCCTCTCAGAGGCAATGCAGTTGTAAAGTATGTGTTTAACACTTACAGTACAGTTACAATATTGGCATAATGGCTGATCTTCACCCTTCAAAAGGTACAGATGAGTCAACCGAGTATGCCCAATTCTCAAACGAGTAAGAATTACTTCAGATCTCCTGTCATACTGTTTATTACGTGTCCAATTTTCTATATTCGGCTTGATCTCGTGTAGTTTATTGTGGATTTGTGCATTCCACATGTTTTGCCATCGCTCTGCTAGTCGTTTTTTAACAACTAGCTTCAAATCACCTCCTTCAATAGGCATTATATGCTGTGAAGGACTAGCTGCCTTTGCAGCTGCGTCCGCTTCTTCATTTCCTTTTATACCTACATGGCCTGGGACCCAACAAAATTTTACAAAGAAATTACT